GATAGAAGCAGAAGATACTTGAAGACGATGTAATCAGTCCATCACCCTCAAAGTTTTGAGGTGGTCAGTCCCTCAGTCTGGAGAAGAGCATTGTTCCATAGTATGAAACAATATGGAGATGAAGTGACAGGATGGAGCTTTTATAGCGCCAAGAGGTGAGACGTAGGCCACTAGGAGAGGTAAGAACTCAGATGCTGAGAGGTCAGGTCCCTCTCAAATCCAGCCGCTCTCACTAGTGGAAGTTGTCGAAGTTGATTGCAGGTCTGTACCAAGATACCCTTGTGTTGCAGTGTCTGACAGATTGAACATTAAAATGGTATAAAATACCGACAGGTTGTTAGGTAAGACACATATGCAACAGTTAGGTATCTTTATTATGAAACGTTTCGCCTACACAGTAGGCTTCTTCAGTCAAGTACAGAAAAGTTGATAGAAGCAGAAGATACTTGAAGACGATGTAATCAGTCCATCACCCTCAAAGTTTTGAGGTGGTCAGTCCCTCAGTCTGGAGAAGAGCATTGTTCCATAGTATGAAACAATATGGAGATGAAGTGACAGGATGGAGCTTTTATAGCGCCAAGAGGTGAGACGTAGGCCACTAGGAGAGGTAAGAACTCAGATGCTGAGAGGTCAGGTCCCTCTCAAATCCAGCCGCTCTCACTAGTGGAAGTTGTCGAAGTTGATTGCAGGTCTGTACCAAGATACCCTTGTGTTGCAGTGTCTGACAGATTGAACATTAAAATGGTATAAAATACCGACAGGTTGTTAGGTAAGACACATATGCAACAGTTAGGTATCTTTATTATGAAACGTTTCGCCTACACAGTAGGCTTCTTCAGTCAAGTACAGAAAAGTTGATAGAAGCAGAAGATACTTGAAGACGATGTAATCAGTCCATCACCCTCAAAGTTTTGAGGTGGTCAGTCCCTCAGTCTGGAGAAGAGCGTTCATTATAAAGTACTAACGGGCATATGTGCTAACCTAACACCTGTCGGAATGACCTTTTAATGTCAATCGTCAAGATCAACTGCAACACAAGGGTATTTGGTAAGACCAGCAATCAACTGTCGGACAACTTCATATCAGAGCCGCTCGATTTGGGAGAGGGTCGACTTCAGATTGAGTTCTTACCATACCCTAGTGGCTCGTCTGACATTGGAGCTTAAAAGTTTCCAATCCTGACAGTTTTATACCATATATGTTTACTTTATATGGAAACGTTGCCTTTTACAATGAGGGATCTGACATCAGAAACTTGAGGTGATGACTGATTACAATCTTAAGAATTTCTCATTCTATCAACTTTTCTGTATTGAGTGAGAAGCCCTATGTGTAGGCGAAACGTTTCATAATAAAGATACCTAACTGTTGCATATGTGTCTTACCTAACAACCTGTCGGTATTTTATACCATTTTAATGTTCAATCTGTCAGACACTGCAACACAAGGGTATCTTGGTACAGACCTGCAATCAACTTCGACAACTTCCACTAGTGAGAGCGGCTGGATTTGAGAGGGACCTGACCTCTCAGCATCTAGAGTTCTTACCTCTCCTAGTGGCCTACGTCTCACCTCTTGGCGCTATAAAAGCTCCATCCTGTCACTTCATCTCCATATTGTTTCATACTATGGAACAATGCTCTTCTCCAGACTGAGGGACTGACCACCTCAAAACTTTGAGGGTGATGGACTGATTACATCGTCTTCAAGTATCTTCTGCTTCTATCAACTTTTCTGTACTTGACTGAAGAAGCCTACTGTGTAGGCGAAACGTTTCATAATAAAGATACCTAACTGTTGCATATGTGTCTTACCTAACAACCTGTCGGTATTTTATACCATTTTAATGTTCAATCTGTCAGACACTGCAACACAAGGGTATCTTGGTACAGACCTGCAATCAACTTCGACAACTTCCACTAGTGAGAGCGGCTGGATTTGAGAGGGACCTGACCTCTCAGCATCTGAGTTCTTACCTCTCCTAGTGGCCTACGTCTCACCTCTTGGCGCTATAAAAGCTCCATCCTGTCACTTCATCTCCATATTGTTTCATACTATGGAACAATGCTCTTCTCCAGACTGAGGGACTGACCACCTCAAAACTTTGAGGGTGATGGACTGATTACATCGTCTTCAAGTATCTTCTGCTTCTATCAACTTTTCTGTACTTGACTGAAGAAGCCTACTGTGTAGGCGAAACGTTTCATAATAAAGATACCTAACTGTTGCATATGTGTCTTACCTAACAACCTGTCGGTATTTTATACCATTTTAATGTTCAATCTGTCAGACACTGCAACACAAGGGTATCTTGGTACAGACCTGCAATCAACTTCGACAACTTCCACTAGTGAGAGCGGCTGGATTTGAGAGGGACCTGACCTCTCAGCATCTGAGTTCTTACCTCTCCTAGTGGCCTACGTCTCACCTCTTGGCGCTATAAAAGCTCCATCCTGTCACTTCATCTCCATATTGTTTCATACTATGGAACAATGCTCTTCTCCAGACTGAGGGACTGACCACCTCAAAACTTTGAGGGTGATGGACTGATTACATCGTCTTCAAGTATCTTCTGCTTCTATCAACTTTTCTGTACTTGACTGAAGAAGCCTACTGTGTAGGCGAAACGTTTCATAATAAAGATACCTAACTGTTGCATATGTGTCTTACCTAACAACCTGTCGGTATTTTATACCATTTTAATGTTCAGGTAGTTATGGTCCGGAACCGGGCCGTCTACTTCCACTGTAAATGATATACCGACAAACTATGGAAAATGACACTTGTGTACTGTTAAGGTCATTCAAGGAAACGTTTGACCACGAGTGGCTAAACGTTTTATTTAATGTCCTGAACTTTACAAAACTATCTTTTTCCACTATGCTTCAACACTGTACCCCTATTTCGTATTTTTCTTATATATGCGACACACAAAAGGTTAAATTTCAAATGTCACCGATTTCATGATACACATTAATGTTGCACACTACAGTTTTATGATCAACTAGGGAGCCGGGAAGCCCGGGAATATGACAGGCTCAGTCAGTTTCCTTTCCAAGAGAAAAATAAAGAGAAATCTCATCCGGCCTCTGATAGTCGGATTACTCGAGTTAATCCCTCGGTCGTCAATATCTGGAACGCCCCAGGAGGGAAGGAGGATTTTGGGAGCTCAGGACAAACTAGACATTACTTACATTCATCACCAGTCTGGGTATCATTCTTGAGTTGCAAAATGATTGAACAGCGTCTAATATGCTAGGGACGATTATGTATTTATCATCATTATAATTATTATACATGATACATAACCGAGTGCTGCTGCACCACAGCATGAATGATCCAGCAATGGCTCCTGGAATCAACAGTAAGCAGATAAACCGCCTGAGGACAGAAAGGTTGGTCCACCCATCTAAATACAAATGAGGCCGCTGTTTGCCCCCTCACTGTATTTAAACTGCTAAACCATGAAAAACTGACCACTCGGAATAAATGGCGATCTTCAATATTATGAATCCAACAGTAGTATAAACAAGAAGACTTGAGAGTGTGATGGCAGGCGATGCCAACGTCGGTGGCCCAAGACCCATCAATCTGCTACCGCTAGACATAAGAAACATTGTCGGAATAAACAAGTAAATAAAAATATATGGGTGCATTGGTTTAAGCCGGTAGGAGATTTGGACCTGCCTCGCATGGACCAGCAGGCCTGCTGCAGTGTTCCTTGTTATATCCTTATATACAAGTTTTCCAAAAAAAAAAAAAAACACTATCTCAGTCAGATACCAGATCAATCAGTCTGTAATGGGTATGTGGGTCAGCGGGTCGCTAACAGTAATAGCCAGGTTAAGCAGGAAATTTACAAGAAACCTTATCGTATGGCCGGGCTGAGAGGGTACAAAAACCATCGAAACAGGTTACAGGTATGCCACAGGTATGTTAACATTCCACTGAGAGAGGAAGGAGGTGAAATGGAGATTCCTTCATCCCAGACTATAAGTGTATTCTGTATCAGTTCCTCAGCCTAGCATTAATCTCCAACCTTTGTGTTTATTGATTCTGCTCTATACACACATATATGTACTTACGCACGCACAAAAATACCCTCCACTGCAACGCATTCATTTTCTCCACGAACTAACAACTTCTACACACACACACACACACACACACACACACACACGGGGGCCAGGAGCTGAGTCTCGACCCCTGCAACCACAATTAGGTGAGTATACACACACTACAAGTGTGCGAAAATGTGCGTTCCGTAGCAATTCAGCGGAAAAGTTGCAAACATGGAGCGAGCTTACTTTCCCAAGTCTGCTACTGCTGTTTCTCCATCATTCACTTACTCATCTTCCAGGTCATTTGCTACTGTTCCTCTAGCCTTCAGTTACTCATCTTTCAGTTCACATGTTCACCTCTCACTAATACATTAATACACATAACATAGCCTAAGGGTCAAATCTCGGCTCTCAACCCCGGCTCTGAAACTTTACGCTTTAATTATTTCCTATTTTTCACACTATATATGGAATTTGCTTTCATTACCTCGTAAACCTTTTTTTAAATGCCCATTCCATCTATGTCTAGCTGTTTTTATATTTTTATGCTAAGCATAATTCTCGTGTCTATGTATTAAGTATCTTTTAAGCCTTGTACATGGTTAATATATATGCACCAAGTTTCTTGCCTGTGCTTTAGATTCTTCAATACTTCGGTACTGTTCACTAACTCCAAGGCTGGGAGACGTATTACCTCATCATTTGTATATTATTCTACATTCTTCACATTGTCATTGTATTGATAAAGCCACTGGTTGGCGAAAACGCCTACAAATAAAGGCACCCAAATGTTGCACATGTAGCTAATTCTTCACCTATTCAGCCCTGATCATATCTTCTGTATGTTTTAGTTCTAGGTTACTTTGTTACTTTATTACTAGGTTACTGTTACTTGAGGATAAGTTCCTTTAGTAATTCTTCGGGTTAATTTCCCACCAGCCCGGCCAAAGGCTAGGATGTGGGAGTAGGAATACCAACCTGACTTTGATGCGTATGTCTGTCGACGTGCAATTGGCACCAACAGTGTAGTCAATCAGGCCAGCAACTTGGAGGCCTGGTTTGGGACCAGGCCGAAGGAACGGTGACCCCCCGGAACCGACTACAGGTAAACTCTGTCATTGGTCATTAGTGTTCCTCCAGTCTTCTGTCTTATCACTTCCTCCTTTACCGTCATTCTACTTTTCGTGTGACTATGAACAGTTCTGTTTGTTTTCCTCTTTCCTGCTATATGATTTTTAAATTTCCTTTGTACCTATGTACATTCGTTTCTAGCTCTTCTGCTTCTGTTCCCAGTTTCCTTTTATTCTCTCTACTCTATTTCTTCCACGCTTTTTTTTTTTTATTTGCTTCTTGCTTTGGCCTCTTTGCTGCCTTGGTTGAACAACGAATTCTCTTTTTTTTCGTATACCTTCCCATTATCTGGTATAAAATCTTCCTTTGATCTCACGGTGCTTTGTTTCGCGTGTGTGTGGAGGAAAGGGAAGGGTCAGGGTTCAGACGTCACAGACAAATATTTATTTGTTTTACCCCTGTTCTAATACCAAAACCACTTTTGCCAGACAGATGTGAGAAGTCTAAGAAAGAATTACCTGACGAAGAAACTTCAGACGAACAGATGGTCTGCAGCTTACGAACAAGCAAGGCGGTGTTGGGCAGCAACGACATTATCACCAATGGCTTACCCCTACCCATCACTCAGTTTTTTTCAGTCACGCGGATAAACGTACACAGGCACACTACCACTACTACAGTCAACACTTACACTAAGAATACTGCTACCAGAGAGCCTAAACTTAGGCAAGAATACCACTGATAGTAAGCTTAAACTGACGCAAGAATACCACTCTCGCGGAGGCTTCGCATCCTCTGAAGAACTCATCACACCCTCTGAAAGGCTCCTCACCCCCTGAAAGGCTCCTCACCTCTGCGGGGCTCCTCACCAAATGAAGGGCTCCTCAGCACACCTTGCCTTGGGGTGTTCCTTCAGTGGGTCGCACAGCTCAGGCAAAACACCTCATATTTTCCAGGGAACGCTCTAAGCCAGCTCAAGCTATTTACCCGCTGCATGTGAAAGCGAAATATTTATAGTAAAATGTGAAGGAGAGGAGGAGAGGGGGTGAGGGCAGAGTAAAGGGGTGGATGTAGACTAGGTGGAAAAGAGGTAGGAAAGAGGGAAGGGTATAGGTAGGAAAGGGAAGAGGATTGTAAAGGGAAGGAGAGGATATGATACAGATAGGTTAGAGAAGAGATGAACTGGAGGAGGGTACAATATAAGTAGATTAGGAAAGTGGTAAAGGTAAAAAGAAAGGGAAGGAAGGGTATACGTAGGTTAACGGTGATTGTGAGGGGGGGGGCAGGAGGGTAGGATATAGGTAGGCGAGGGAAAGAGAAGGGTAGAGTATAGATGGCTTAGGGAAGAGGTAAAGGTGGGGGGAAGAGGATAGTAAGACACAGGTTAGGGAAAGAGTAAATAGTGAGGTAGGCTAGATAAGGGCAGGGGGTGGGGTAGGGTGGGGTGGAAGGAAATTCCTGCAGTTCTTCCTCCTGAATAATATCCGAACATTGAAATTCCGAACACAGCTCAATGCTTCTCAGGATGCAAGAATTACTCTGAGCTGTCTGCCCCTCCAGAGGTAGGACTCCCCAAGAGCAACCCCAGCACCCCTCTATACACGTCCTACAGTAAGCCATTTATACACGTCCTACAGTAACCCTTTTATGCATATCCTACAGTAACCTCTTTATCACGCTTCCTACAGTAATACCATGATCACGCATCCAATAGCAGCCATTTTATTCATAAAACACTACACAACTTAACTTTTTATAATCAGTCGTAAACTATAATAAGTTAATTTTGATAATTTCATTCACGAAGTTGCATGTGTATACATTCACATACATTATTCCCAACATCGTATTTTTCATTCACAGAGCTCAAAGTACATTCATCTCGCACTTCCATTCACGGACCTAGTATATATAGTGTTTATACGTCATTATTCACAGAGCTACTTACTGTACACACTCGCCACACGCAGTCAGACGTAAATATTATTATTATTTATTTATTTATTTAGTAGGAAGCGATAAACCCCATAGTGTTCATGCAGAGACTGGGGAATACGAAGCAATTAAGCGTAAAACAACGCAAAACATCAAGAATGTTAAAATCTTTTTGTTTTCTCGTAATATTGTGGTCACTGCGTTGTATGACCCTTGTAGGTTTAGTGCTTAGTTTGATTATAATAATGGGTATATTGTCGAAACGTTTCGCCTGCCCAACAGGCTTCTTCAGTCGAATACAAGAGAATACATACAATGATACTGGAACAGCAGAAGTAGTAGTTTTGACGTGATCGGTCCGTCAGCCTTGGTAGGTGGTCAGTCCCTCAAGCCAGATACCAGTGTTACATATAAATTTTATTCTTCAACTTTTCGATACTGATATACCTTTGAAAGCTTTAGAGAGTTTTCCTACTCTGTATATCACAAATAATATAATACCCTTCAATGACGTGAATAAAGCCCAGAAAACGAAGCTTGGGCTAGAAATTCAGTTTATTACACACAAAATAATTTTTCTGTGATACCATTGGAGATCATGTACATCACTGCAGCGAGATTTTTTGCATGATTCAACCAGAAATAATTTATTAGTGAATGTTGCACTTAGAACAACAGCATTCAACACTGGGTGATCTGCCTGGTTTGCTGGCCGTTCTGTTCATTATTATTACTATTATTATTATTATTAGTAGTAGAAGCATTCCTTTGATATACCTCTGACGAGTCTCGAGAGTTTCTCTATTCCCGAAGCCCTGCCCTGGGCCAGGCTTGTCTGGTGCTTACTTGGTCAATCAGGCTCTTGCTGCTTGCCCACATATCCATCACAATTTGGTTCATCTGGCACTTTGGCGATATTCGTTCAGTTCTCTCTTGAAACTTCTACAGTTGTCCCAGCAGTTCTTTTGATATCGTCTGATAAGATGCTGAATAGTCTGAGACCACGAATATTGATACAATGCTCTCTTATTGTGCCCACTGTGCCTCTGCTCTTCAATGGATTTATTTTACACTTCCTTCCATATCTCTCACTCCAGTATATTGTTTTGGCACTGTGCAGATTTGGGACTATGCACGCCTCAAATATTTTCCACGTATATATTATCATGTATCTCTCTTCTGCTCCAGTAAGTCGATATTTAGGACCCAGACACGTTCCTCGTAATTTAAATGTATTGGCTTTTATGTGGGCCGTGAATGATCTCTATCTGTTTCAGCTCTGATTTATCTCCTGCCCTAAACGGGGCCGAGAAAGCACAAGCGATTTCAATAGAGTCATCGTTGGCACTATTTCTCTTGTTTTGAAGGTTCTCATTATCCACCCCCTCATTTTCCTGACTCGTGACATTTGCCTTGTGTTCTTCTGAGAGAAAAGTCACCTGATATTATTACTCCCAGGTCTTTCACGTGTTCCTTTCGTTCTGTTTGATGATCTTCTTGAGCTCTGTATACAGAGTCCCTTTTGAGTTCATTTTTTCCATATCTAAGTAGCTGGAACCCACCAGCAGCTTCGGGGTAACTGCGGTTTTCTTAAACAGATCAAGGAGTAAAATTGCAAAAAAATGCTAAATACAGCCGCTTTAGATTCATCATATCACAGTTGTCAAAAACGCTGTGAATATAGAAGGCAATTCATCAAGCTACTTGTCTTCTGTGTAGGGGTCCACACACTCAACTTTGACCTTGTCACTACAAAATCATTGGTGGTGTATTCTAGAAGTGCTCGTAGAGAACTTGTAGTCAACTGGTAGTTCGCTGACTTCACTGCATCCTCTCAGTAACCACACCTTCGTAGATTAAGAACATAATAGACGTTCAACATGAGTTTAGGTTGCAAAACTTGTCTTCCTCTGCCTCCCCAACCCCAGCCTTACCTCACTTCACCTTCTCAACTCCAGCATCGCCTCCTCACCAGTTCCGGCCGAATACATATATTAATGTTCATTAAGATTACGATCTCTTGCTGGGGTTCTATTCTATGGCAGGTGCTGGATGCATGCTGGGAGTCAAGTGCTGGCAGGCTGGGTGTATGCTGGGAGTCAAGTGCTGGCAGGCTGGGTGTATGCTGGGAGTCAAGTGCTGGCAGGCTGGATGCATGCTGGGAGTCAGGTGCTGGTAGGCTGGGTGTATGCTGGGAGTCAAGTGCTGGCAGGCTGGGTGCATGCTGGGAGCCAGGTGCTGGCAGGCTGGGTGCATGCTGGGAGTCAGGTGCTGGCAGGCTGGGTGCATGCTGGTAGCCAGGTGCTGGCAGGCTGGGTGTATGCTGGGAGTCAGGTGCTGGCAGGCTGGGTGCATGCTGGTAGCCAGGTGCTGGCAGGCTGGGTGTATGCTGGGAGTCAGGTGCTGGCAGGCTGGGTGCATGCTGGTAGCCAGGTGCTGGCAGGCTGGGTGTATGCTGGGAGTCAGGTGCTGGCAGGCTGGGTTGGGTGCATGCTGGGAGTCAGGTGCTGGTAGGCTGGGTGTATGCTGGGAGTCAGGTGCTGGCAGGCTGGGTGCATGCTGGGAGCCAGGTGCTGGCAGGCTGGGTGTATGCTGGGAGTCAGGTGCTGGCAGGCTGGATGCATGCTGGGAGTCAAGTGCTGGCAGGCTGGGTGCATGCTAAGTCAGGTGCTGGCAGGCTGGGTTGGGTGCATGCTGGGAATCAGGTGCTGGCAGGCTGGGTGTATGCTGGGAGCCAGGTGCTGGCAGGCTGGGTGTATGCTGAGAGTCAGGTGCTGGCAGGCTGGGTGTATGCTGGGAGCCAAGTGCTGGTAGGCTGGGTGCATGCTGAGTCAGGTGCTGGCAGGCTGGGTTGGGTGCATGCTGGGAGTCAGGTGCTGGCAGGCTGGATGTATGCTGGGAGCCAGGTGCTGGCAGACTGGGTGTATGCTGGGAGTCAGGTGCTGGCAGGCTGGGTTGGGTGCATGCTGGGAGTCAGTCGCTGGTAGGCTGGGTGTATGCTGGGAGCCAGGTGCTGGCAGGCTGAGTGCATGCTGAGAGTCAGGTGCTGGCAGGCTGGGTGTATGCTGGGAGCCAAGTGCTGGTAGGCTGGGTGCATGCTGAGTCAGGTGCTGGCAGGCTGGGTTGGGTGCATGCTGGGAGTCAGTCGCTGGCAGGCTGGGGGTATGCTGGGAGCCAGGTGCTGGCAGGCTGAGTGCATGCTGAGAGCCAGGTGCTGGCAGGCTGGGTGTATGCTGGGAGTCAGGTGCTGGCAGGCTGAGTGCATACTGAGAGCCAGGTGCTGGCAGGCTGAGTGCATGCTGAGAGCCAGGTGCTGGCAGGCTGGGTGTATGCTGGGAGCCAAGTGCTGGTAGGCTGGGTGCATGCTGAGTCAGGTGCTGGCAGGCTGGGTTGGGTGCATGCTGGGAGTCAGGTGCTGGCAGGCTGGATGTATGCTGGGAGCCAGGTGCTGGCAGGCTGGGTGTATGCTGGGAGTCAGGTGCTGGCAGGCTGAGCGCATGCTGAGAGCCAGGTGCTGGCAGGCTAAGTGGATGCTGGGGGCCAGGTGCTGGCAGGCTGGGTGTATGCTGGGAGCCAGGTGCTGGCAGGCTGGGTGTATGCTGGGAGCCAAGTGCTGGTAGGCTGGGTGCATGCTGAGTCAGGTGCTGGCAGGCTGGGTTGGGTGCATGCTGGGAGTCAGGTGCTGGCAGGCTGGGTGTATGCTGGGAGCCAGGTGCTGGAAGGCTGGGTGCATGCTGAGTCAGGTGCTGGCAGGCTGGGTTGGGTGCATGCTAGGAGTCAGGTGCTGGCAGGCTGGGTGTATGCTGGGAGCCAGGTGCTGGCAGGCTGGGTGTATGCTGGAAGCCAGGTGCTGGTAGGCTGGGTGCATGCTGAGTCAGGTGCTGGCAGGCTGGGTGTATGCTGGGAGCCAGGTGCTGGCAGGCTGGGTGTATGCTGGGAGCCAGGTGCTGGCAGGCTGGGTGCATGCCGGGAGTCAGGTGCTGGTAGGCTGGGTTGGGTGCATGCTGGGAGTCAGGTGCTGGTAGGCTGGGTTGGGTGCATGCTGGGAGTCAGGTGTTGGTAGGCTGGGTTGGGTGCATGCTGGGAGTCAGGTGCTGGTAGGGTGGGTTTTGGGTGCATGCTGGGAGTCAGGTGCTGGTAGGCTGGGTTGGGTGCATGCTGGGAGTCAGGTGCTGGTAGGCTGGGTTGGGTGCATGCTGGGAGTCAGGTGCTGGTAGGCTGGGTTGGGTGCATGCTGGGAGTCAGGTGCTGGTAGGCTGGGTTGGGTGCATGCTGGGGAAATCAGGTGCTGGTAGGCTGGGTTGGGTGCATGCTGGGAGTCAGGTGCTGGTAGGCTGGGTTGGGTGCATGCTGGGAGTCAGGTGCTGCCCACCTGGTTAACCCACCGTAACATCATACAGTAGAGTACATTGAACTGATGTAGCCAGTGAAAGTTCTCTGCACATTCTCCAGAGACCCTGTATTATCCACCTTTAAAAGGGTTAAATGAACATTAATATTTCATGCCACATGTGTGTGTGTCTGTGTATGTGTACTCACCTATACGTGGTTGCCAGGGTCGAGTCATAGCTCCTGGCCCCATCTCTTCGCTTCACTGGTCGCTACTAGGTCCACACTCTCCGCTATTAAGTCCACTGTGTACTCGCCTATTTGTAGTTGGAGGGGTCGATTCACAGCTCCTGGCCCCGCCTCTTCGCTAGTGTGTGTACTCACCTATTTGTACTCACCTATTTGTGCTCACCTATTTGTGCTCACCTATTTGTGGTTGCAGGGGTTGAGTCACAGCTCCTGGCCCCGCCTCTTTGCTGTGTGTGTGTGTGTGTGTGTGTGTGTGTGTGTGTGTGTGTGTGTGTGTGTGTGTGTGTGTGTGACAAATGCTAAAAAAATGAACTGAACAAAAGAGTAAAACATCACAACAAGAAAACTCGAGCAAACTGCATGTGTGTGTATGGTGCTCATAAATTAGCAAATTAATTGTTTATGTGAAGCTCTAAACCCGTGTGGGCTATTGTGGGCAAGGAGAGGGGAAAACATGAGCCTCTGTCTGCTAATCGCCAAATTATATTACTGTATTTAGTTGTCTTATGTAAGAGGTACGCTGTAATACCACTCTGGCTGCAACAAATTGCACCTCACGCTAAGGTATCCACTACCTGTTGACCTGTCCACACTCTACTACTCCCCGTACCTTCCCCACTGTTTACACTTCCCCTCTACACAACACCAGACCTCCCCAGAATTCTCCATCACTCTCTCCAGGATTCGTTTCTCAGGCACAGAAAAGCATTTGGGCAAGTTTCCTTATACCCTTACTGCCCCTGCCACCTGACAGCAAAAACTGGTACCTGTGTGTTAATGCCCATTGTTGTGGGTCGCATCCAGGAACATACGTGTTATAAATCCTTAGTCCTGTGTTAGAAACTTAATTACCTGCTAGAATGTTATCCTATGTAAGAAAGCAGTCCAGTTCTTTAATTAAGAGACTCCAGTACCTACTGGAAGCATTAAAGTGTAGAGTAAAAAATATAAATGTTCCTTATATCAATAAAAAAATCGTAAGTCCACCCACTTCCTTTCTCACACATCATTACCCACTTCAAAACTAATTTAATATATTTAGTTCTTTAACAGCGTTTTGAGGGAAAGGGGAAGTGTCTTGGTCTGCGATGGTTAAGCTATCTTCATAAATTCCATATCTCCTGCCCCTTGAATAGGACACCCTGAAAGACGGTACCTCTCGAATAACAGTAACTCCAGTTCTGCTGGCACGAAACATCTGAAGCTGCCCTAGCTACTGAACCCATCATAGTGGGATCCTTCATATCCTTATCGGGCTAACACTGCATTACCTGATGTTTAAAAAAAATCTTGTGTGATGGAATACGACAGAGAAGCTGGATATTGTTCCCACTATGTGAATATCGTATACGTACATGTACGTGTTACTTTAGTCTTCCGGAATAATCTCTGATATGAGTCCTTGCCATGCAATGACTTGTACTTTCACTCTCACCCCGGACCAAGACACGTATCTTCACCGCCACCTCGGTCTCTCTCTCACCCTGCCGTCTTCCTTATAAGTGTAGCCCAACCCTCTCGCATTTAATTAAACTTCATATAACTTATGGGCACCATTATTTACACAATATCGTCGATCGTATTCCACTCCTCTTCTTCCCATTTCTCACTCCCACTTCCTCCTCTCTACTCTCCCACTCGTATTCTCTCCTCTTCTATCTCCTACTCCTACCCTTTCCCTTCTCTCCTGGTCAACCCTATCCCAATCTTTATCTGTCACTCATAACACTCCCCCCCTCATTTTCTATCGCCTCTACCTTTTCATCACCCTATCTTCTCTCATTTTTCATCTACCACTCCCCAACACGGTTCTTATTAGTGAAGTCTGGGATAAACCAATTACGTGTCGCTCCTGGTAAAACGTTGGCCAATTTACCACCGTCCTGAATTGCCTTCGTTATCGTCGAATAAGATCGAGCACCTGGCCAGACTGAACTAGGCTCCACCTACTCGTTCACATGGCACCAGAAATACACTGGATACCAGTTATCAAAATTAATCTTTACCTTAGTCTTGTCAGACACGACCAGACGCAACCAAGAGTACGGTTAATCTAGATCATAATCTCATCAGACACTACCAGAAGAAAATATTAACCTTTACTAGTGTCTCAGACACGACTAGACGACATTACGACTCCAGCAAGCACCCCTCGGTTGCGTGCGTCGAGTACGTATGTATTCATTCGTAGCATGCAAGACAAAAAACAATACTGTAATGATCTTTGTCAGCTGTAAGCACAGTGACTAAAGCCCTCTATGGTGCTGTACTACTCTAGATCGTCTGGTTTCAATTGCAGGCGGAGAGAATGTAGTCTAAATAAACTGAAAGGAATCTTGCCATCCAAGTAGACTCTCTCAGGCCGTCAGCTGGCTGAAATCTCATGGCGAGGTCTTAATACTTTGTAATAGTTTGTATTAATTGATTAAGTTGATTTGTTGAAAAAATCTGCACATTTCTTAATACTGTATAAAGTTAATTGCTGATGGAATAAAATGCATAACTCACACTAGTTACTACATAGTCT